ACATTCTTACATGTTTCTCTCTCTTTAGCACAACTATCCACCACACAATTTTCTCTTTCTTCATTCCCGTGCAAAACTAACTTTGAAAAATAATTTAGGGACAAATGAAATATATATCAATGGTCAAAGTTATGTATTGACAAATATGAAAATTGAACTTTGGCAGTTGCGAATAACAAATACAAGATATCCATTAAAAAAACAGATGCATTACAAAGTAATTGTGATACGAAGTTTTCACTAAATCCTCCTTAATATTCCGTATATGTTTAAAAACCGAACAAAATCGAATCGAACAAAAAAAATCAATAAATTTGTATTATATTTTTAAAAGATACCGGTGTGTTTCGAATCACGGAGGAAATCCACAATGAAAGTAACGGCGGCACATCAAACCGCAACCAATACTAACGTGAAGAGAGAGAAACATGTATGAAAGTTTAAAACATGTTGTGAATCGCAAATTCTTTGCTAAAAAGGATCATTTTGAGAAGGATGAAAAAGGAATTTTGAAAATTAATTCAGGGCAGAGCAAGTATAATTCTCTATTAAAAAAATAAATTTTGAAAATTTACCATGAGACAAATTCAAAAATATTTTTAAAAATAATAATCTATGAATAGATTAATAAATAAAGCACAGTTAAAGTAAAACATGTGAATAATGTAAAATTCAACATGTTGCAATTATTTTTAGGACCAAAATATTCTAGATTCACTTCTTTAATAGAGCAAAAGATGAAATTAGGAGAAAAAACATAAAAAGTAATGTCAAATTTAAAGACTTTTTTCCCGGAATAATGCTAATTATTAAATAAATAATTCCCAAAATACTGCTAGGTTAACCATGGTTAAGAAAAGCCGCCACTTGAAGTGACGACTCTTCTCTTGCAGAACAACAGCCGCCACTCCAAGAGGCGGCTCTTCTCTTACAACACATTTTGTACATATATAAAATGCAGAACATGCCCAAAACATTTCATCAAAACATTCCACTGAGAAGAGTCCAAAACAGCCTTGGTCAAGCAGCGGTTCCCCAACAGGCCGGCTGGACAGGAGAACGACTCTCTCTCTCTCTCTCTCACGTGTGTGTGTACAGAGAGAGAGAGAGAGAGAGAGAGAGAGAGAGAGAGAGAGAGAGAGAGAGAGAGAGAGAGAGAGAGAGAGAGAGAGAGAGAGAGAATCTTTCATGTCCAGCCGGCCTGACAGGAACCGCTGTCCGTCTGAGGGCATTTCGGGCACTTCTCGGTGGAATTTTCTGATGTTTTTTTTTTGAGATTTTTTAGCTTCCTTCTTGATTGCATTTTTAGCTGAAACTTGGTATGGATAAACTAGACTTGATGAAAAACATGCTCAAAACATCTCATCAAAAAATTCCATCGGGAAGTGCCCGAAATGCCCTCAGTCGGACGACGGTTCCCCGTCTGGCCGGCTTGACAGGAATTGGACACTCTCTCTCTCTCTCTCTATATATATATATATAACTATGTAAGTATATATATATATATATATATATATATATATATATATATATATATATATATATATATATATACTTACATAGTTTTAAGTGGTGTATGACTTTCCACTGCTTTTAAAATTTTCTATTATATATGTAATATTTTCATAAAAGTTTAATACTTTAATTAGGTGTATTCTCATTTATCATTAAAGTTTTAAATAGTGTATGACTGTCCTAAATCTTTTGTAAATTGTCCAATCAATTATTTCTTCATTCAATCTAGTATTTTGTGGTAATTTGCCTACATATTTTAAAACTAAGTGTGTGTGTGTGTAGAGAGTCATCTTCCTGTCCAGCCGGCCTGACAGGGAATCACTGTCCGACCGAGGCTGTTTCGTGCCCTTTGCGATGATTTTTTTTGATGAAAGTTTTTGGGCATGTTCTTCATCAAGTCTAGTTTATGCATACCAAATTTTAGCTCAAAATTCAACCGGGAAAGCAGTTAAACAAATTCTTGAAACATACTGCGTTTTATATATGTACAAAATGTGTTGTAAGAGAAGAGCAGTCACTTGAAGTGATGGCTTTTGTACTGCAAGAGAAGAGCCGCCACTTCAAATGGCGGCTGTTCTTAACTACGGTTAACCTAGCAGTATTTTGGGAATTATTTTTAACTTAGCAGTATTTTGGGAATTATTTATTTAATTAGTATTATTCTGGGAAAAAACTCAAATTTAAATTGTGTTATATATGAACATAGTAATCAATTCCGTTAGGCGTTAGCTGCTTCACCGTTAACAAGGGGGTCCTCCTCCTCCTCCTCCTCCTCCTCCTCCTTCCTTTTTAAAGTCTTGTGCATCAAAAAAAAGTTTAAGGGCATAGATGCCCTTCGGTTACAACTCCAAGGGGGGTTTTGCCCCTTTTTCCTTTTTATTTCATTTTTTTCGGGGGCATCTGGGAGAGGGGGCCTGAGGGGCTGAAACTCAGCCCATTAAGTTTCAAACCCGAAGCCTCCCATAAGGGAGAGTGAGTCGGCGACTTGGCTGGACTCTTTCATGTAATTTTCCTTTCATATACTACGTAAAAATGGTATAAGTCAAGCATTTTTATCTCCAACATTAAAATTGACTATTAGCCTACAATGAAAATACCAAGATAATCTTAGGTGTCATATAACTGGGTTAGTGTATAGAAATACGAAAACAGAGATCAGATATGTCCATTGTCAAAGAGAAGCACACATTGTAAGGGTGTGGATTTGTAAAATGGGATGTTAGTATTAGGGAGGGTTTGCAACTGCTTTTGCTTAAAAAGAGACTTTTGGAATGATTTAGAAAAAGTGATTAGTAGTAAAAATTGATAGTGTCTGAGAAAAAAATGATTTTGAAAAGTAGAAGTTGGTAGTGTTTGGTAAAATAAGTGTTTTTTGGTATTGAGTGTTGAATAAATTAAGTTTGGTAAGTGTTTCAAAAGTACGTACTGTTTGTGTTTTCAAAATTTTTGCGCTAGTGAAAGTAAGTTTGCATGTGTTAATTTCTTTCATGTCTTGATTAAACAATATATTTCAATTTGTATGTTTCAAACCACGAACTAATCTTGTGTACTTAGTGTGTTTTAGTTTTTAATAAATTTGAATAACATACTTCATACTTATTTGAATTTGAAAGTTTCGGTATGAAAACAGTTTACAATATCACTACAAAAAAAGTGTACATAGACTACACATGGACCACATTTGTTTTGCGATGGAAGCATAATTGTCGTTAAAAACACCATTAACCACACATTTTTTTATTTACCACACACAAAAATGTGGTAAAAGCTTAGAGACGACAGTTTTTAACCGTGGCCAATGTTTTTACCACAACTGTTGTGCCGACGCACCTCAAACTATCGCAAAACTGTCATAAAAACATAAGGAGGAACATTTACGACAATTTTGCGTCAGTTTTACGTGCGTCGCCACAACAGCCGTGGTAAAAACATTGGTCACGATTAAAAACTGTCGTCTTTGACCTTTTATCACAGTTTTGTATGTAGTAAATAAAAAAATGTGTGGTTAATAGTGTTTTTAACGACAGTTATGCGGCCATCGTAAAAAAATTTGGTCTATGTGTGGTCTATGGGTACTTTTCTTGTAGTGTATCTTACATTATTATTACGAATGTGTACGACAACAGGAACAATTATAATTAATGTATTGTCCACAAACTACTATTCAACATGATTTTTCTTAAAACTCAAATGTCATCTTAAATTTTCCTTGCCAAACAAAAAATGTGTAAGGATCGGATCAATTGTGTGTCACTAAAATTGTGCATAGATTTGCCAACACATGTGCTTGAGTGTTAGTAATGAGTTTTCCTAACACCTTTCCTCTCGACACTTTTTAAGTCTGTTGGAAATTCTTAGGGTGTCTATCTTGACACTTTTTCCTATTTTCCCGACATTTTTTGTGTGTCACGAAATGTTACTTTTCCAATTTTTCCCGACACTTCATCAAATTCAATGAGAAAAATATTTTTACCATTAATTCTTTTGATTTTTACCGAATTCAGTGTCTAACATTAAATTAAAAAACGGGTTTTTTACAAAAATATTACTAAAGTAAAACTTATTTACACAAATATGACTACTAGTTACTACAATGTAGTGTCATAGTAACTTAAGTTTAAAATTTAAACATAAGTTACTATGATTTCATTAATACTCAAGTCACTAATCACATTTTTGTAAATAATCTTTATTTTAGCCATAAATATTTAATTAGGACTAACAACATTCGTGAATTCTAAAATAAGATTATTGTATTTTTAATCATTAAATAAGACTAAAATCGTTCGTGAATTCTAAAATAAATTATTGTGTTGCTACTCATTATAAAGGTAAGAGAGAATCACATTTTCCATCCCTTAAATAGTGCTGAAATTGAAATGCAGTCTATATTTTCAAGTTGTAAATTTCACCCCTCAATTGCCCAAATGCATTTAAATGTTGTCATCGCCTACAATGTAAACGTCAACCCTCAAAGAACGTCATTTACCACAATTTTACAATTTAGGTGGGTCATTTCAATATGCATAATATTGAGAGAGTAAAAATGAGATTTTCTGTCTATTTGTATTTAATTGTTAAATTTTACTCCCTCTGTCCCGAAATAACTTTCATGTTTTCTTTTTTGGTCTATCCCATAGTAATTGTCTTCTTTCCTCTTTTGGCAATAATTTGTGACTTAAATTAATTGATCTTTTTCTACTCAAATCTCAACCATAACTTTAACTTTTTCAACTACTTTCTTAAAACTTGTGCTGAAGCAAACAAGAAGATTATTTTGGGACGGATGGATTTTTTTCTTCTTATTTTAGGGGCCCACAATTCACCATTTGAACCTGGGCCTTCAAATTGACAAAACGGCCCTGCTTATATGGATCGTGCTCATTGCATTTGATAGTGGGACTCTGGGTAGATTCAGTCATTCAGCCCAGCTCATGTAGGACTCTACAACTCAGTAGCTTCCCCACGCCAACCATGAATTGCCATTAAACTTCAACGCTCCAGAGCCCTGAGCATTTCATTTCCTGGTCTTCATCATATACATATACTTACTGCATTTCTTCTGTTCCAATTTCACAACCCTCAACTATTTGAGAAGAAATCAAATCCAATTTCTCACTCTAAGGCACGCATTCTCCCTAATACATTATATTCATCTTCATACTATTTCAGCAAGCTTTAATTTGGGAGCTGGGATGATTCCTTTTAAGTTGCTCGACTCTCATACAAAGGTAATTCTTTTTCGGGTTTAATTAATAATGCATCCATCGAGCCAAACTTTTATGAACAATTTATGCCCTCTAGTCTTTAAAAACTACTTTAAGGCCATCTCCAGACTACCAATTCACACACCAAAATGGTGTATTTGCCAAAAACTTGCTCCAACAATGACACCATTCTCCACACCATTACACCATTTTGGGGAGAGGAAATGGCTTTACGCCATATATGGCATACGCCATATCTAACACTATCCACCTTTTTTAATTTCTTTTCCTTTTAAATGTGACCTTCAAGTTTTAATTATTATAGTTTTGACCCATTTTTAAAACAACAAATTAGGATGTTTTACTTGGATTGAAATTGTTTGTCCGCTCTGGTCTGATTTGATCTGGTTTGGTCTGATATGATGTGGCCTGGTCTGATTTCTTTGTATTTTTATAATTACCCAAGTGTGGTCTAATCAGGTCTGATCTGATCCCGAGACAAATTACAGTCCAAGTAAAAACATCCTTATAGAACAACAAATTAAAATTATTAATTTGATAGAAATGCGTATTTGTGAAATATGCATTTCTGTATTTTAATTAGTGAAATGCGTAAAAATACATATGAAAATGATGTGCTACGTATTTTAGTTTGTATGTGTGAAATGTCAAAATATTAAATGAGGGGCTAATGTATAAATATATGATAGTTAGATACTTAAATAGAAGAATGGTAAAAAGTTAGTAAAAAGAATAAAAAGAGAATATTCCTTTTTGGTGATGAAAATGGTGTAAACTGTTGGAGATAAAATACTGTTTGATGTGATGTTTACACCATTTTAGTGTAAAAAATGGTGTTAACTGTTGAAGATGGCCTAAAACAATGAAAACCTTATTCTAACATTTTCCTTTTTTGTTGTTGTGTTGAACACTTGCCCAATCAAATTAAAAACCTAAAGCATAATTCTTACTTTTCACTCTTGTTCTTCCCTCCATGCTCTTCTCCCGACATTTGATTAATGCTCTACTGTCAATATTAATTCGCTGTTCTATTATTAGATGGTGGGTCCAATATGTTTCTTTTGTCAAATGCGGAATACCAAATAAGCAAATGTTTTTGTCCAAAAATGAAGGTTTTTTGTACAAAACTATGGCTCTATAACAGTGTAGACCGTAGAGTACTGAATAGTGTGAATACGAGTAAAAAATAAACGAACTACTGAGTAGTAAAATTCGTAGGAGTAAACTCCCCATTCTTGTCAATAATTTCCAGAAAAATTACTCCGCATCTCTCCTGCGGTATATGGTAAAAGATTATTCCATATTTCTGTATAAAGTAAAAGCTTACTGTGTATATACTTGTATGTTATGGGTTAAACGGTTCTTGATATGGTATTGCTGGTGCGGAATCTGCTGATTGGTTCCACATATATTGTTGATGATCAAACATTCAAACTGCGTCTATTTTGATATTCTAGAGAGGTGTGGAGGAAGCTAGAACATCCGTTCCTGCCAGTAATCCGAGCCTAATCCATTTCGATGATCTAAGGAGTGTTTGCAGTTGATTAAAAAAAGCACTTTTCAGCTTTTGGATTAAAAAAAGTTAAAAAGAGTGTTTTCAAATGACAGTTTCTGCTTAAATTAATCACTTAAAAGCTAAAAGCTGGAAGCAGGTGGAAGGGTGCTTTAAACTGCTTTTCACTTTTTCTATTACACAAAAAGTACTTATTTTACCAAACACTACCAACTTTTACTTTTTCAGAATCACTTTTTCCTCAAACACTATCAACTTTTACTATTAATCACTTTTCCCCAAATCACTTTAAAAAATCACTTTTTTAAAGTTGAAGCAATTGCAAACACTCCCCTATTCTCATTGACCAGAGGTGGTGTTGTGAGTGTAGAGGAGGACCATTCAAGTGATTCGTGTAGAGGAAGGAAGCATTACCGTCCAGGTGAAAGTGGGCTAGAAGAAGAGGAAAGGAGCAGCAAGCAGAGTGCAGCTCATAAGGAAGAGGATGACTTATCAGAAGTGTTTGATAAGGTTTTGTTGTGCACCGATGATAATGTTGATTCTCCATCTGGAGCAGCGAAACAACAACAGATAATGCGAAGTGGTCGCAAGAGCCGTTCAAATAAACGAGGAGACGGTTGTGAAATTGTAGATCTCCAGTCTCTTTTGATCATTTGCGCACAATCTATTGCTGATGCTCAGTACAGGGATGCAGAAGAACAATTAAAATTGATCAGGCAGTACTCTTCGCCCACATGCATTTGCTGAGGGTCTTGAGGCACGGCTAACTGGAACCTGGCCACAACTCTATCCTTCGTCGTCATTTCGCAATAAGATCTCAATTTCCGAATTACAAAAATCCTACCTGTCATCATCTATGCCATTTATGAGGATAGTAATCTTCTTTGCGAATAAAATGATTTAGTAATCTCCACATTATAGATTTTGGCATTCTTCTTGGTATCCAGTGGCCCACTCTTATTCGAGATCTTTCACAGAGACCCGGTGGCCCTCCAAAACTTCGAATAATAGGTATTGAGCTTCCCCAACCTGGTTTTCGTCCGTCGCAAATGCTAGTCGAGACAGGTTGTCGCTTGACTAAATATTGCAAGTGTTTCGGTGTACCATTCGAATACAATGCAATAACTGAAACGAATTGGGAGAAAATTAAAGTTGGTGACTTGAAACTCGTGAGTGTTGAAGTCGTTGCTGTTAACTCTATGGATCGATTTAGACGCCTACTAGACGAGACAGTATGTTGTGCTGACTGCCCAAGGGACAACGTTTTAAACTTAATCCGGGACATAAACCCTCAAATATTTATGCATTCCGTGCTGAATGCATCTCACAGCTCTCCTTATTTTGTCAATCGTTTTCGAGAGGCGCTCTTCTTCTACTCTTCTCTCTACGATATTCTTGAAGCTGTTTTTCCACACAATGATAGTCAAAGGTTGAACTTCGAACAAGTTTTAATGGGGCCTACTGTAAATAATATTGTAGCATGCGAGGGCAAGGAAAGGTTAGACAGGCCTGAAACATACAAGCAATGGCATAGACACACTATGAGGGCTGGGTTCAAACCTCTACCTGTGAACCCTCGACTTACGAAGGAATTAAGAGGCAAGGCGAAAGAATCACATCACAAAGACTTTCTGTATTCTGAAGATGGCCATTGGGTGTTGCAGGGGTGGAAAGCCCGTACTCTTACCGGTACCTCTGCCTGGGTAACTGAAATATCCTTTAAGATATTGTATAATAAAATATTAAATGGATAACAGGAGAGTCGCTTCCCTATTCAGTTAGAATAAAATATCATTTGATGTTAATTTGGAAATTGCATATTCACATAGACATTTTATGAAATCAAGCAGATTTGATCAGCTGCTATTAGGTCTTTGAAATTTCCAAATTAACATCAAATGGCTCTGTGCAAATAAGAAAATTCATTTTTAAGAAAAGAAAGGAAATACGAAATATCAAGCATGCAAAACTTTAAAATTTCCTAATCTAACTCACTTTGTAACCAACACCGAACGTTGCTGAAATGCGTCAGCAGTAGCAAGAAAATCACGTGGGCATAAAACGGCTTGCCTTGTTGATGATTATAATAGCAACATAATAGCATTAGAAGTAGACCTGTACAAAACCGGGCCGGCCCGCCCGGCCCGCCCAGCCTGCCCACACAAATAAGCGGGCTTGGGCATATATATTTACCCACCGGCCCGGCCCGGGCCCGGCCCGCATCAACATATGGGCGGGCTTGGGTTAGGGTGTAGGCCCGTTCGGGCCGATAAGCCCGGCCCGCTACATTTAGTATATATACATATATATATATTTATATATGCTAATTTATGTATTTATTTACATGTACACTTGTATATTTTTATATTTGCTAATTTATCTGTATACATATTTATAGTTTATTATGTTTAAATTTAAGTTTTTAGTTCTTAACAAATAGTCCAACCAATATAATATCTATTTTTGTACTTAAAGATAATACTTTGTGCTTGAATTTTAAATTTTAGATATAGTTTCTCATTATTATTTTTGCGTAAATATTTTTTGTGTATGTGATGAAAGGCCTATATACATTATAAGCATATTAGCAATTTTTTAAATGCTGTAATATTATTTATTAAGTATTAAATAAATTATATAATTTTGAAAAAGTTAAAGTTTTACCGGGCCCGGCGGCCCGGTGGACTACCCGGCCCGCTCTTACGGGCGGGTATGGACATGGGGTTAGGCCCGTTTTTGCGGGCCGGGCCGGGCCCGCCCATACACGATGGGCAGAAAACTTATGAAAAGCCCGGCCCGAGCCCGGCCCGAGCCCGCTTTTGTGCAGGTCTAATTAGAAGCATAGGTATTGAAAGGATACAGCAGGGATATGAATAGGCAATATAAGATTTCATACCATCAACTAAAAAATATCACTTTTGGGAGTTATTCTAGATACTAGCTTTACTACGAATAAACAAAACAAATCCCAACGTTAATCAAAACAATGCTTCCACTATATAATTGGAAATATATTACCTCCTCATGAGTCTCAACCCCATAGAAAGAGTCATTTTTTGACCAAGATACATGGCAAAGTACAATTGTTATAAGTCATAACCGGTACTTGCATTTTAGATTATTTTAGTTTACCTAAATTTATCACACTAAACTTGTTTGTGATTCTGTTTTGGCAAACTTTTCGTAAATAGGATATACATTTAATCAATTTCCCCGCTGCAACTTTTCTGGTTAGTTACCCTTACAACCTTACTGATGTAAAAAAAACATGAGAAAGCAAAATCCAATGAAATTTGATGTCATAGAATACTATATCCAGAGACAACTCAAATGAATATTGGTTGGTGAAATATTACTTCATACTTGAATGATAAATTCTCCATCTTGATGTTTATGAACACCCCAATCTTGATTAGATAATTAAGATCTGCAACATTATCCTACAAAAGAATGTCACACTGTCACAAGTTCCCAAAATGAATAACATATT